CCCTTGTTCACAAAAAATGTACCCAAATTACCTTAAAGTCAGTACCTGAAGGTTAATGTTCAGACAACAAAGCACAGCATGCTGAAGAGAATATTTTGCCGGCACAGCACTGTGGCTATTTACTAGCTGAGGACTGTCAATGCTTTGAAGCAGCAGCAAGGCTGGCGTCCCACCACACGAAGCAAATCACTGGTGCTTGTCAGGTGCAGCTGCCAAGAAACCTCTCTGGCTTCAGAAAAGAACAGACTAGTCCAGCGTGATTTCGGCTGCACAAATGAAATCTTCAAAGTATGCTGATGCTGCGAGAGGTAAGCCCACGGCATTAAGGAACTAAAGGGGATGGGGTCAGCCCAAAGGATACTGGAGCACCATTCCATGGAATACAGATGGTCAGAAATTTTACAGCAGTCATTTTTTCCATCAAAAAACGCCAGTTCCAACATGTCACTTTTGATGACTCCTCTAACAAATCTCTTACTAGATCCTGCTAGCTCGCTTTATCTAGGCTCTTTGGCAAGCCATCAGTGTCAATCATCCTAAACTACCCTGACACGTAGCCTATCCTAGGGCTAGAGGCTTCCAGCTCAGTACTCATCCTGGGAAAACCAGCCTCCACAGCACTCTGCATGCAATTGCTAAGCTCTGACACCTCCATACCTGTTGAGTGGAAGTGAAAATATACCACGTTTACCTCACAAGCTGTACCGATTTTGACCAGACTCGTTTGTAAAATAACCCCCCAAAATAATTCAACCAATAACTCTCCCCTTACCAACAAATTTTACGGGCTATTTATGCATGAAAACAACTTAAAGAAACCTACTCAGTCTCCCTCAGTGCTCCTCTGGCCAATACTGCTGCTGCCGCAAAACATCCCTTCCCTCCAATTTCTCGTGTACTCCGCCCAGTACCCCCAGGCCCCGTCACGTTCGCTGCCTCGCAAGCTGCCGCCTGTTGGAGAGAACTATGTGCATGCCCATTTGACAATTCCTGCCAAAACAAAAGAGAAGGCAGCAGATTATTTTATTTTTTTTTTTCCTTCCCTTTCCCATAGCACTGGAAGTAAGGACTTTGACCTAGCAAGCCAACTAATCGTGAGCGCAGAAAACACCTTAGTACGCCAGACCTCCGTCCCCTCTGCCTGACAGGACACCGGCCAACGGCTGCAGGAGCGACAGGGAGGAGACAGGGGTTATCCAGGGAACGGGACGTTCGCATGGAGACAGTGCAATTATGCATGTCTCATCTCCTTATGAAACTGGACTAAGACTCATAAAACATGCAGAACTCTTCAATAATAGGAGTGCTATTTTGAGCTAATTTTTTTTTTGGGGGCACATTTAATTCACATTTTCCGGAGGAAGAAAAATTCTTTGCTTTTCCTTTGCTGCCTGCGCGCAGAACTAATCAAGACAGAATATAGGTTTTAAACATTACATGCTGTAAACTTTGAAGGGGGAAAAACAAAGCAACATAATCCTCTTCCAAATTCAGTTTGTTGATCAGGGGAAAGTTCAGTAAACTCAGAAAATTACAACAAAGGTATATCATGCAGTAAAAATGACTTTTTTTTTTAAGGTGAAGCAGGAACTCACCAATCTCCTTTTGTTAACCATCCTGAAGAGATCAAACACGCGTGCGCATGCGTGTGTGTAGATGCACTGCAGAGATTTTCACAGCTCAGGAGACTCAGATTAGGCAATTCTAAATAAATTCTTACATTAAGAAACAAAAACAAGTTAAAGAAATTCTCTAAAGCTTCATTATTGTGGCATATACTTCCTCAGCAAGGCAGGAACTTTGTCACTGGTTCTAGCAAGCTAGTTGTGGACTAACAGAATAATTTATAATAGATTATCATCCTTTACAGTTAAGATTACTGCAGTCCACCGATTAATTTTACCAAGGCCCATTAAGTAGAAAATAGTGTGCCAAATCCCACTGTTTCGGAAAAAATCAGTCTCTCTCCTTACCCTCTGCGTGGATGAGAACTGCGCTAGCAGGCTGCAGCTCCTCCCCAAGAGACCAGGAAGGCAAGAAACATTGTAGATGTTGCGTGACCAAGACCTGGGAAAACCCATCTTCAGATACAGTCTTGACCACGTTCACGGCTTATATAGCCCTGTCTGTACAGACAGACCAGGATTACAGGAGACGGGACGTTTTGCCAAATTATTTAAAAGAGAATTTGTTCACCTCAGGAAAACTCGGAGCTTTAGGCTGTCTCAGTCTATGGAACGGAATAAGGTCTAACAGATACAGACTTCAGCCTCGTCCCTACCTAACGCAATCAAACCTCTTTAAGAAGCCTTGCTCACCGTGAAACATTTAATACCAGGGAAAACATTTCTTGAGATGGACTAGTGGATTTATATACCTGTTTGCAGAGAAAGACATAAATCTTATCTTTTTTCTAGTGTTTCAACAGAACTACTTATTATCTAAGCATAGAATTAGACAAATTATCTGGAGTAGACTAGGGCATGAAATTGTAGTGCCTTAAATACTGCAGGTAAATGTCCGATCGGTGCTTTCACGCTGTAACAGACTATAATAAACATAAGGAAACTTACAATGAATCAAAGGGATTTTTGGGTAAGATGGCTTATAAAACTGAAAATTAATGTAAAACATTAAAACAGCAATCTACAAATAGTCCTATGAGCTGTTATTCCTGCAGGGCAAAGGCGCCTTTTAATAACATGTTAAATCACAATACACAGAAATACTTCCCAGGGCATTCACTTAACTTTGAAGCTTCGCCACAATTTTTAGTCAGAATGCTATCAGGTCTTGCTTTACTTCATTTACATATTGTATTTGCCAGTGGACATTACCTGATCAAAGAATCATTTTTGAACTTCTCCAACCAATTTCATTGCTCCATTAGAGAAAAATCTAACAATTCACAAAGGAAGGGGAAAAAAAAAATAAAAATCAGCAACTGCCTTCTGTCAAAATACTAGAATTATTTTAAAAAATCTGAAGTTGAGTTTGGAGTATCACATGCCTATGGTAAAGGTTCTGCTAACGTCATCTGAAAACTCACATTCCATGGACTGTAAGAAGTTATTCATAAACCTTATTTTTAGTAAAATTTTAATAAAAATGATGCTTTGCATTTTCACATTGGGAAGAGCTAAAAATACAACAGAGACTTATTTACATTTTTCAACAACAAAAGTGTACAAATTACTATACAAAAAATGCAGTACCATCTCAAAAAAAAACAAGTTTTTGAACGTTCTAGCAGTTAGGACATGAAACCTGTATTTTCTGAAGAGATACCACTTTAAAGACTAAGTATCAATAACTGCACAGTGATTTTCTTCACGGAGTTAATAAAAAACACTTCCATGACAATTAAGACTATCATTACTTTTAATTTTGGCTGATACAAATAGAACCTCATAATAAAAAGTTACTGAATTTAAACAAATCAAATTCAATAGATATTCTTTCCCTTGAGGTTTTTGCCACAAAACTTTTCAAAACGAGAAAAGAAGTAAACTTCTTTTTAAGGAAATAAGCCTGGCAAGAGATGAGTAAGTCACAGTTTTACAAAAACCCTGTATTTGTAAACAGTCAAGCACTGCAGATGTTTAAAGTTATTTCAAAATTATACATACGGCAATCACTGCATGCTATCTGATACAGATGTTTTAGAGTGGAAATAGTTCAGCACAAGCTGAACCCATGGAATGGTAAATTTCAATTCACATTTCTATTTGAAACATTCTGATATGCGAAAGGAGATCTGACACGTTTTTACTTTTAAAAATATGGGGCATCATACTATATAGATGAAAAATTTGAAAGATCAGCTCAGACCCTTAACTACTGTTCAAGTCAACTGGGAGGTAGTCACATCAACGCGTTGGGGTGCCTGAGTTGTAAAAAGATGCTGATTCACAAGTTTCACGGATTAGAATCTGGCTCTACTAGCATTTCAGATCGGGTGATCACTGTGATACCTGGAGCATAACTTAAGTCATACCTGTTTTATTAGAAATACACCCAAGATAAGAACTTAATGCATTTTATTTAATGTAGTGAAGACTAATGCAAGCTCCCTACGTTATAGTATGACCTTTAAAAAGCTGATAGCTATTTATTGATTTGAAAGCCAACCCAAAGAACAGACATCAGGTCACAAAGTAATCCGACATCAATAAATCTACAGCAGTTGTACTGGGAAAGTGACAGAAAAATGCTTTGAATTGAACGCTGACAGCTTTTACCAATGTAATGCTTCAGGATCATACAGTTACTCTTAAGAGGGGACTGTGTAAGAGTTCTAATCCTATTTCTAACTGAGGGGAAAAAACACCCAGTTCAAAGTAATATGAAGAAACGCTATTAAAGTGCCCAAACTGTTTTTACATTCATTTGAACCCATGTCTCTAAAAAGGTGAAGTATCCTGGTCTGGAATACGTATGGTCCACTAATCTAATGTTAAAAACTGTGTTACTTTAACCCATGAGTATACTGTATGATTAGTAGAAAATCTTTAGCAGACACAAAAAAAATGGAAGATGAAACTGCAGCAAGAGAGCATGGCAAACCTGAGAGATCTATTAGTGCATAAATCTGCTTAAAAACTAAAAAGATAGAAAGAGAGAGCTAACGAACTACAATAAAAGTTATGTCTTTAAAGCAGTAAGTTACAACAGGGTGGGAAATGTTTAATATGCACATATGCCTGCAAAGGGGTCACTATCTTTCTGAAAATAAAGAGCTGGTATTTTTCACAGCATCAGATTTATGGTAAAAAGCCATAAATTGTATTTTTTAATATTATGCTTTTCCCACCCTGACAGAGAATAAACATGAATTTAGAAGCACAGTAGAAGTGAAAAACAAAGAAAAGGAGAGATAGAAAGCAGCAGAGAAAGACAGAAAAGGTGAATACAGAGCTACAGAAGTGTTTATTGAGCATGCTACAGAGGTAAGCAGAGTACACACAAAATGAAATTAAACAACCGTCAAACCTCCCAACTTTGTTAGAAAATTAATTTTTAATTGTGCCACTTTCAAACTATACTGAATTTTACAATTCTAAAGATGTAAAAACTCAACTAATAGAAAATATACATGACCATTTTTTTTTTTCTACATAGATAACAGAATCTATGAATCTTGAAACTAAGTACATCAATTTCAAAAAGTATTGGTCATTTAAACAGAATCAAGGTAACAGTTCAGACTGACAGAGAACTGCTTTCAAATTAACTGGATCTGTAGATTCTGAGCCATGTTTATAGTAAAGTCAGATCAATTTCTAAATACAAAATATTTAAGAGATTTATTAAAACTGAATATTACAATGCAAGGTAAATTAAGACTAAAGGCACATAAACTTTGGTCCCACCTGGTTGTCAGTTTTAGAAAACTGCCACAAAATTTCCTGCAAGCATTTGCAGCAAACTTTCTTCATCGTTGAAAAAATACATGCACCATTCCCTGAACTAGCTTGACCAGTCTGTACATGCTCAGAAATCCACAACCATATTCCATATCTTAATTACAAACTAAAGATGGCAATATATATTGAAATGCACATAAGTCATGTCAACTTCAAAAACATCTACGAAAAATATTCAGCCACAAACAAGACATTACTTAGTGCTGACACTTATATGATACATCCCACAAGAGTGTGTACAAAAAGGTTAAGATTCCACAATGCTTTTCACGTAGGGCTCAAAGTCACAGAAGTCACTTTTTGTCCTTTAAGAAATTAATATTCTGTACCTTGTTAATTTTAACTAATGCCTACATTCGTAACTGAATCTAGACCAGAACCATGAAATACAAAAGGCCTTTTGAAAAAAAAGCACAAAGCAAAAAGTAGCAGAAATCAAACAACATCATTTTACTCTTTCAGCGTAATGCATCTTATCCAATTAAAAAGAAAAGAAAAGTGACAAGCCAGCAGATAAAAAAATCTATCAAGCAGGAGAAATAAAAGCTTAACCTTTTTACACACCCCTGCCTAAACATATTTAAATTATCATGTAACAATGTGCCCCAGACAACCAAATTTGCTTTTTACTAGTTATGCAATTCCAGCAGTACTAGTTTTCCTTTTTAAGGCACGTACGTCAACTAAGTTGAAAAACTGTGGTATTAACTTGAAATCTTTTAAACAAAATAATGGTTTATCTAAACAACAGTTGAACAACAGCAGTTAGTATCACTGCTTTTTAATTTTTTTTTATTTTTTATTTTTTAAAACAACGAAGGAATGATAACAGCATGAAAAAAAAATAATAAAAAACCCCAACAGAAGACAAACTCTGGTCCCCACTTTCCTGAACAGTCAATAGGTGACAACACCAAACAATGCAATACACCCTCATTTTCAATCCGCCTTCTTAAATAGTTGACTTAGAGAAAGAAACTCTCAGATGGTGATTTTCTCCCAGATTGTAATTGTGAAGATCAATCAAAGCCTGAATAGCTTCTTCTACTGTGGACATCTGAAGAAGTGCCATCTTGTGATCTCTTCTGAAACAAAATAACGGCATTAGGAACTCGAACACTACAGGGGTTGCTCCTAATGTTTGCTATCCTCTGTGCACTTTTCCTTAACACATGCTGCAAAAATGCACTTAGGCAGTCTTTTGTTAGAGCTATGTACAGAAAAGTTACTTACTGAAAAAATTTAAATGCTTTCACAGTGCCTCCAGTATTAGCAAACAATGTGCGTAGATCCTCTTCTGCTACTGATGGTCTACAGAAGAAAGAAAACAAGCATAAGCAAGAAATTATTAGTCAATTCAGTGCGTTGTGATTCACATTAATACTACTGGCTTACTGACAGCCAACACTTACGGAATATTGGACAGATGAAGCGTTGCAGAAGGAGGGAATATATTTTGAAAGTTTTTTGAACCAGGTTTCTTGAAGCGATGCAGAGGAGAATTACCAAAATCTTTAGTCAGCCCTTGGTCATCAAGTCCCTCTCGAGGTAGTTGTACTGTCTGATGTTTAGAAAGGGTAACCCGAATAATCTTTCCATACATTTTTTGTCCATTAAGATGGCTCATGGCTGAAAAGGACAAGAAGTTTACTCAATTCAGTGTTACTTTTCCAACAGCTTGCGGTACATCACACAAGCAAACAAGAAAAACACCCAAGCAAATCAAAGGGTCAATGTGCTAGAAGACTGGACTCGAGAACTAGGTCTGTAGAATCTGCATGAGTATTTAATTCTATTTAAAGACCATCACATGTGATTCAGCTGTTGAATTCTTCCAGGATATTGTGCGGACCTTCTGGAATACAAGTGCATGCGGTAAGATTTTGGATCTTGTGGGTAACCAGGACACAAGACAAACTGACAAATGTAAACATGCTTAGTTCACCCGCTTTTACACAGCATAATTTCAAGTACTTAGAATAATGGGAATATAAACAGAAAACTAATCTTACCCAGCTGTGACTGGTTTCCATCAGCCATCTGTATAAGAGCACTGTCTTTCTTATTGTACAAAATCTTCACACGCTGCACATCACCATAAACACCTTTTCAAAGTCAAAGGTAACCCAAAAGAAAAAGTTCATTTTAAAGCCAGTCACCTAAGTAACATATTTTGACATATCAATGGAACATTCAGACAGCAACAAGATCACTCACTCAAACTCAACACTCTCACAAATGAATAAAGGAGATAAAGATTTTTGAATAGTGAATTTTGAAAAGAATAATTTCTGATAAACCCTCAAAGCTATGTGAATGATATTAAATTAAAGACCATGCAAAATATATTAGCATGCATTAAAAGAAAATCTGTGTCTATGGAGAGTTTTAAACAGCAAAAGAAAAATAGCAAAAGATTTACTATTCAACTTTAAGCCAAAGTGCTAGCTACAAATAAGAATTAAGGTGAAACAAAACAAAACAAAAAACAAAACAAAATCAAATCAATAATAAAAGTATAGTGCTAACAATAACATACCGAAGAGGGTAAACAGACTTTGGGGCGTAACCATCTTTAGAAGGAGAGAAGAGCAAGCAGCGTAAGACAAGAAGAGAGAAGAGTCGA